ATGAGTCTTCCTCCAATCCTGATGCTGCTTTCTTCTTCATGTAGTCCAGCTTCTCAGATTATTTGTTCAATATACAGATTAAATAAGTATAGTGAAAGAATACAATGCTGATGGCACACCTTTCCTGATTTTAAGCCAGACCTAAACATAAGGTCATTAAAATCATAAAACTCTTAGAAAAAAACGTAGGGGTAAATCCTCGAGACCTGGATTTTGGCAAATGGACTCAGATATGACAACAAAAGCATGAGCAACAAAAGCCAAAGTAGAGAAATTGAACTTCATCGACATAAAAAAAAAAGTTTGTACATCAAAGGACTCTATCCAGAAAGTGAAGAGACGACCTACAGAATGGGAGGAAATAGAGGGAGCCCTGGAGGCGCAGTGGTTAAGAGCCAGAGCTGCTAACCAAAAGACTGGCAGTTTGAATCCACCAGCCACTCCTTGAAAACCCGATGGGGCAGTTCTACTCCCTCCTATAGAGTCGCTATGAGTTGGAATCAACTTGACGGCAATGGGTTTATATATCTGATACGGGTTTATATATCTGATATGAGCCCTGGAGGCACAGTGGTTAAGCTCTCAGCTGCTAACCGGAAGGTCGGCGGTTTGAACCCCCTAGTTGCTCCACGGGGGAAAGATGTGGCAGTTGGCTTCCATAAAGATTTACAGCCTTGAAAACCCTATGGGGCAGTTCTCTCTGTCCTATAGAGTTGCTATGAGTTGGAATCAACTCAATGACAGTGAGTTTTTTGTTGTTGTTGTTTGTTTGTTTGCTTATGTATCTGATAAGGCTTTAATATCCAGAATACATAAAGAACAGCTCAAAAACAAGAAAGATAATAAAAAAATGGGCAAAGGATCTAAACAGATATTTCTTCAAAGAAGATATACAAATGGCCAATAAGCACATGAAAAAATGTTCAGCGTCATTAGTAATTAGGAAAATGCAAAGGAAAACTACAAGTAAATACTATTTCACACCCTAATGTGAAATGTCTATTACCAGAAAAGTGGAAAATAACAAGTGTTGCCAAAGATGTAGAAAAATTGGAGCCCTCATTCCTTGCTGTGGGATTGTAAAGTAGTACAGCTGCTATAGAAAATAGTTTGACAATTTCCTCAAAAAAGTTAAACTTAAAATTACTATATGATCCAGCAATTTCCCTCCTAGGTATATACCCAAAAGAATTGGAAGCAGAGACTCAAAGAGATACTTGAATACCAATGTTCTTTGCAGCATTATTCACAATAGCAAAAAAGTGAAAACAACTCGTGTCCATCAACAGATGAACAGATAAACAAAATGTAGTACATATATACAGTGAAATATTAAAGCATAAAGAGAAATGAAGTTCTGATACATGCTACCTATACGGATGACCCTTGAAAACATGCTGAGTGAATTAAGACAGACACAAAAGGACAAACATTGTATGATTCCCACTTACATGAGGTATCTAGAAGAGGCAAATGCATAGAGACAGAAGTTTATTGGTGGTTACCAAAAGCAGGTAGAAGGAGGAAATAGGGAGTTATTGCTTAAGGGGTACTGAGTTTCCGTTATGGGTGATGAAAATGTGGAAATGGATAGTGGTGACGGTTGTAAACATGGTGAGTGTAATTAATGTCACTGAATTGTATACACAGAAATGGTTAAAATGGCAAATGTTTTGTTATATGTATCTTACCACGATGAAATTTTTTTTAAAAATTGAAAAGTTAAAATGGCAAATTTTATGTTATATGTATTTTACCACAATAAAATAAAATTTAAGAAGGAAGGAAAATAGGAAAGGGAAGAAAGTAAGGAGATAGGGGAGAAAGGAGGAAGAGAAAGATGGAAAGAAAGAAAACGGAAGGAAGGAAAATACTAGATAGCCTAGGATTTTTTTTTAAATCTTGAGAGGAAATTTATACTTTTCAAGAAGTTGAGATGAAATAGTGATACTTAGAAAACTAATTTAAAAACTGGGTTATCAATAACTTGACAGAAAAACAAAAACTTATACCAAAAAGATGATGAATATAGATAGTACAGTACATGGCTCGTCTCTGAATCTGTTTGAACAATCATAATAATAGAAATGTTGACTACATTGAATTTAGATATATAAAGGTGAATATCAAAATAAACAGTTAATTGAGTTGACGGTAGTTGCCTCTGGAGAGTATAAAACTGTAGTGAAAAGGTATGGGACAGGTTTTTGTTAAAAGCCTTATAGAACTATTTGACTTTTTAAAAAATGTATGGTATGATTTGATGAAAATGTAATTTTTAAATGTATTTATATTGCTAACTTGTGATACCAGGAACAACCTTCCCCAGCTACAGCTATAAACATGGATTTTTTTTTTCTTCTCTATCCAACTACCCAGATGGTGGGAACAGGGCTTTCCTTATTTCTGAGCCTGGGTTGAGTTCTGGGGTTTGGTGGAAGGGATAGCTCTACTGTAAGTGGTATTCATGGAATTCTGACAGATGGAGGGGAAGACAGATGTGACAACATGTGGATGGGAGGATGAAGACTATAAAAATGGCTTGACGAAGGCCAAGGGGGCTGACCTCGTCTGACTTCACAAGGGGGAAGAATCGTTCTCAGGATCAACAACCCAAGGCTGATTGCTGTGAGACAGAGGTCAAACATGCCTCCACCCTCTAACCTTTTTACCAATTCCTACACCAGCTGTCCCTCCCACAGCACTCTCTACTCCTCTGCTGGGTTCTATAATTTGTTGCAGTGGCCACACAGACAATATTCATGATTATGGGGCCTATTAGGGAAGTAACAGGTTACAATTCAGGATCAGAAACAACTCAGGATACAGTTCTTCAATCAGGACAGCCTCTTCTCAGTTGTGCCCCCAGGCAAGCCTCTCTGTGGCCCTCAGCCCTTTGGTGGGCCTTTTCCCTACCTGGGCAAGTGTTACAAAGGTCTTTAGCTCCTCCAATAAGTGCTTGGAGGCACCCCATACCACCAGCAAGCCTCCTGCTCAAAGATGCTCAGCTTTCTCTCAGTGGACCGGGAAGCTCACCACACTGTCTCCTGCTGGTCTCCTGGTTCTGCTGCCTCTGCTGCCACTGTTTCTCTGCTTCTCATCTCCTGCCATCTCCGGTGTTATATATCTCTCTCTCTATCTCCTGCATCTAGGAGGTTCTCAGTGCAGGGATCCTGGGTCCAAAGAATGCATGCCACTCCTATCTCTTCTTTCTTGGTGGTGGTAAGGTCTCCTTTGCTCTGGGATTGGCTCTTTTAAGCTTAGCAGGATGGCAAAACTGACTAATCCCCTTGTTAGGGTTCCATACATCTTATTTGCATGGTCCCACCCCCACAAGGGTGCCATGCACCTTATTTACAACATTAGCAAGCTATCCAATCCCCTTGGTGGGCCACAAGCATCTCATTTGCATAGCCCCACCTAGTCGTTAGGTGGAAGTTACAAAAACTAGAAGGGCCATATTAAGTAATTCACTGTACCGCAAGACAGAGTGATAAAAGTAATAAGTAGCATGAATAGGGACCGGACACTGTAGGGCAGTTGGAGCAGGGGAAACAAAGGATTCTCAGAGGGATAACCTACCTCTGACAGCTGAAGAGGTGGAGACGGATGGTAGATTGGGTCAGTCAGTTTAGGTGTTATGGTGGTGGCTGGAGGAGATGACCAGGTGAGAAACAATTGTCAGCTTTAACAAGGTGTTGGGAGTGGGAGAGAAGAATGTGGTGAGGTCAAAGGAGGAAGGACAAAAAGTAGTTGTCTCAGGTAGGTCATGGATGAGCAGAGATAGGCATAAGTCAGCTCCAGGCCAGGAGATAATAGGTTGTTAGAACAGTGCTCCCCTTTCTCCCTTAGTTTCTAGTATTGTTGACCTCCATCTTGTCATGTGGTAGTGTTTAATAATGCTGACTAAATTAGAGTATGTCTTCCTTTTTCTTACTAAACCTTCTGGTTCTCCTCAACTTTTAGTACTATGTTCTATCCAAAGTTCTTCATTCTAATCTATTCTCACAGGAATGACTTTAAAGCCTCTGAGTCTGAGACCTTTTCTATTCCGTTTTGTTGCCCATTTTCTTATTGAGATGTTTGTTTTCTTATTATTGGGTTTCCAGAGTTTATATATATATATATATATATATATATATATATATACAGGAGCCCTGTTGGCACAGTGGTTAAGCGCTTGGCTGCTAACCAAAAGGTCAGTGGTTTGAACCCACTAGCTGCTCTGCAGGAGAAAGATGTGGTAGTCTGCTTCCATAAAGATTTACAGCCTTGGAAACCCTATGGGGCAGTTCTGCTCTACCCTACAGCGCTGTTATGAGTTGGAACTGACTCAACAGCAATGGGTTTGGTTTTGGGATTTTATATATACTGTATATAAAAGTTTTATTATACTCACAATTCCCTGGGAAGAACATAGCTCACCACGTGGCATAGCCACTCAGGGAGTTGAACACAGGTTCAGGGTAACAACAAGCTGGAATGTAGGAGATGGCTTATGTTTGGCAAGCAGGATGAGGTTAGCTAGTTTTTGAAGGCTTCCTGTGGATTGGGTATTTTCAGTAATTTCACAGATACTTGGGGTGGGGGGTGAGCATAGAGGCTGTCCCTAGGTGTTTGGTACCTGGCCCCAAGGCAATTAGGGTGGGTGCATAGTGGCCCAGGAGCATGAGAGCCTGATAAGAAGAGTGGTTGTAGAGTGGGCTTAATCAGCTATTCAAGAAGGGGAACTGACTGGCCTCCAGTGAGGGCCTTAAAACTGGGCCAAGACAACATTTTAAGAAAAAAATTACTTGCAAGGAGGATTATGATGTATTTTATCAACATCAAAAACAATTATTTTATACAGTTAAAATGGTTTACAGTAGTATGTCCTTTCAGTTCAATTTTACATTCTTCATATGTAACTGCACTGTACATTTCTACAAATTTGAATTCTTAGGAGTTTGAGTCTGTTTTCTATTGAAACATCTTACCCTTTTTGTCTGTCAATTCTGCAGGACTAAGTTTGCAGCATGATATTTCCAGTTCACTTCTGAGCTATTCAGTCACAGACTCTTACACAGAATGCAACAGTTTTGAAGAGAGTTTAAGTAGCTTCTCATCACCTGAACTGTTCAGAGCGTCAGGCTATTTAGGTAAGAAAATATTATCAACTGTAAATTGCTCCACTATAGAAATTGTTTCTTTGTCCACAAATTCTTCAATGAATAAATGTTCCTTTTGAGAAGACATACTTTTCTTCTTCTGTACCCACTCCCCTGCCTGAGGCTACTCGCTCTGTTTCATGCTCAATCACATACGACTTTAGAACCAAAGTCCTAAGATCAGGAAAGGATGAAGAAATGTTATTAGCATTTACATGTAATACAAATCCAGTTTTAAAACAGTTTTGCACATAGTGAAGGTATACTTGTTTTCTTGAACTATGGGCTGTATTTTATGTACTTCTCTATTTTCAGCGAATAAGTTAAATATTAACTAGGCCATTTTCCCGCTTGAATTATCTCTATAAATTAACTTATTTATGTATATGTAAATAAGAGCTTTCAGTTATAATGGCAGATTGAACACATGCCTTCTTCCACTACTTTATGCAGTGGCAGAAAATAGTTTTTTGTTTTTCGAAAGACATAAACACACAAGGGCAAAGAGAATAGAAAAGAAAAACGTATGAAGTTTGCAAAGTTAGTGCTATGGATCAAATTGTGTCCCCCTAAAAATGTGTGTCAACCTAACTAGGCCATGATTCCCAGTATTGTGTGCTTGTCCACCATTTGTGATCTATGTATTATAAATCCTAACCTCTATGAAGTTAATGAGGCAGGATTAGAGGCAGTTATGTTAATGAGGCAGAACTCAATCTACAGGATTAGGTTGTATTTTGAGTCAATCTCTTTTGAAATGTAAAAGAGAGAAGTGAGTAAAGAGGAGAGAGACCTGCTACACCAAGAAAGGAGAGCCTGGAGTGAAGCACATCCTTTGGACCCAGGGTCCCTGCACTGAGAAACTCCTATACCCAGGGGAAGACTGATGACAGGAACCTTTCCTCAGAGCTGGTGGCCTGAATTTGGACTTCTAGCCTCCTAGAGTGTGAGAGGATAAACTTCTGTTTGTTAAAGCCATCCACTTGTGGTATTTCTGTTATAGCAGCACTAAGTAACTAAGACAGCTAGAGGGCAGCAGACCTGAGAAAGCTGAGTCCTAAATCAACAATGAGACTACCTCAGAAACAAACCAGTTTGCACTATGGTGTTTGAGAAAAACTCACAATTTGACTGCACCAAGCACCTATGAAAAGATTTGTCTGAAACATGAAAGATGCAGCGTCTGCTCCTTCCCTTCTTATCTTTGGAATGTGTTGAAACAGAGGGACTCTGGACTGAAGGACACTAGACGCTGTTGATAGAGGGATATTGTGGTATTTTGAAATGTTAGTCCCAATTATTCATTCACCTCTGCTAGTATTATATATCTACACCCTTGCTGTGGCCTCGTAGTGAGTGGAGTATACTTTCCCACTCTTTGGCTTTGGGGTTTGTCATGTGACATGCTTTGGCAATAGGATATTAGTGAATGAAATAAGCAAAGCTTTGACAAGTGCTTAAATGGTTGGGCTTGTTCTCTTGTACATTTGCTATTACCATGAGAAGAATATACTCTGATATGCCTCTCCTGAGAGAACCCAGACAGAGACCTAAAGAGCAGAGCAGTCCCAGCCAACTTGCAGACCACAGAGAGTTGCCCCAACTGATCTGCAGACCTGTAACCTGAAGCAGAGCTGCCTAAGCCAACCAGCAGACATAGGAATAAGAAATAAATATTTGTCATTTTATGCCACTGAGATTTTGAGGTTATTTATTATTCAGCAAAATCTTACTGCTACCGATACTGTAGTGAAAACAGAGGAGGTGGAATTAAATGAAAGTTTACATCCTAAATTGTGGGACCTGCTCAACCTATACCTATCTTACCCCCACCCAACAGCCCATTTCTCTGCTCAACTTGAAGAATATTGGTAACTGGACTTCAACCTTCCAGGCAGGAGAATGGAGGATTCTTTTCTGAGGAATCTGAGCAGCTCAAAAGAAAATCCTAAAGATACTGACCTCAGGAGTCCTTCAGTGAAACTGCCAGTCAGAACACTCTACAGTGAAGCCAACTACATGACAAGTCCCACCAAGGCCACAGTGATGCCACTTAGCCTTTTAGGGCCCCACTTAAATATGAGCAGAGGCAAGGATCATCAGACTTCTGAGGAAAGCCTCTAACCTAAAAAAACAGAGGTCAGAACAAAACAAGAAAAGGAACCAAGCAGAAATAGAAACAACATAAGGAGAGGAAGATATTGTAAAAAAAAAAAAAAAGAGTTCATTGAGATAAGAAAATATATATTGCATCCGTTAAATAGGAATATTGTTAGTTGCTGTTTGATTTAGTTCTGACTCGTGGAGACTTTATGTATAACAACGAAACATTGCCTGGGACTGCACCATCTTCATGATCATTTGTATATTTTAATCCATTATTGTGGCTGTTGTATCAATCCACATCACTGAGGGTTTGCCTTCTTTTGCTGACCCTCTACTTTACCAAAAGAGTCCCTAGGTGATGCAAATGGTTAAGCATTCAACCAGTAGCTGAAAGTTCGTGATTCGAACTCACCCAGAGGTGCCTCGTAAGACAGGCTTGGAAATCTGCTCCCAAAGGTCACAGCCCTTGAAGACCTTATGGAGCTGTTCTACTCTGCACACATGGGGTCACCAGGTGTAGAAATAGACTTGATGGCAACTAACAACTACTACTACTTTACCAAACCTGATGTCCTTTTTTTTTTTTCAGTTCAACCTGGAATGAAGGTCAGAAGGATTAGCTGAGATTATGGATGTGGATGTGGTTTTTGTGTGTGTGTGTGCTTTACATGAAGGTTTACAGAGCAAATTAGTTTCCCATTCAATAGTTTATACACAAAATGTTCCTTGACATAAGTTGCACTCCCCACAATGTGTCAGCACTTTTCCCATTACCACCCTGAGTTCTCCATTTCCATTCATCAGGTTTTTCTGCCCCTTCCTACCTTCTCATCTTTGCTGTTGGGCATATGTTGTCCTTTTGGTCTCATGTAGATGATTGTTCTAAGGAGCGCTTTCCTCCTGTGTGTTATTGTTTATTTATAGGCCTGTCTGTTATATGCTGAAATGTGATCTCCAGGAATGGCTTCAGTTCCAAGTTAGAAGGGCATTCAAGGGCTATAGTCTCAGGAGTTTCTCCAGTCTCTTTCAGACCAGTAAATATGGTCTTTTTTTGTGAATTTGAATTTTGTTCTACATTTTTTTCCCCACTCTAACCAGGACTTTCTAATTGTGATCCTGGTCAGAGTGGTCAGTAAGGGTAGCTGGGCACCATCTAGTTCTTCTGGTCTTAGGCTGGTAGAAGCTGTGATTCCTGTGGTCCATAAGTCCTTTGGACTGCCTGATGTCCTTTTCTAGCAATTAGTCTTTCCTGATGATGTGCCCAAAGTAAGTGAGTTAAAGTCTCGCCATTCTTGCTTCTAAGGAACATTCTGGTTGTATTTCTCCTAAGACTGATTTGTTTGTTCTTTTGGCAATCCGTGGTTATTCAGTATTCTTTACTAACACTACAGTTCAAATGCATCAGTTCTTCTATATTCCTTTTTCATTAGCCAGCTTTCACATGGCTTAGGTCATATGCACCTTAGTCATCAAAGTGACATCTTTGCTTTTTAAAACTTTAAAGAAGTCTTTTGCAGCACATTTGCCCAGTGTAATACATTGTTTGATTTCTTGACTTCTACTTCTTGTACGTTGGTTGTTGATCCAAGTAGAATGAGATCATTGACAACTTCAATTTCTTCTTCATTAAGCAGGAATAGGATGCTATGAAAAGGAATAGTCAGAGCACAATTAAGTGCAATACCAGAATGGAAAACTCAGTAGAAGGATTAGAAGGTTGAAGAGATTTCCCAGAAAAAAAAAGAATCAAAAGAAAAAGTCTTTCGGTGGCTAACAGACACATGAAGAAATGCTCACGGCCATTAGCCATTAGAGAAATGTAGATCAAAACTACAATGAGATATCATCTCACCCCAACAAGGCTAGCATTAATCCAAAAAACACAAAGTAATAAATGCTGGAGAGGTTGTGGAGAGAGTGGAACACTAATACACTATTGGTGGGAATGTAAAATGGTACAACTGCTTTGGAAATCAATTATGCTTCCTTAAAAAGCTAGAAATAGAAGTACCATACGATCCAGCAATCCCGCTCCTTGGAATATATCCTAGAGAAATAAGAGCCATCACACGAATAGATATATGCACACTCATGTTCACTGCAGCACTGTTCACAGTAGCAAAAAGATGGAAACAACCTAGGTGCCCATCAATGGATGAATGTATAAACAAATTATGGTATATCTACACAATGAAATACTATGCAACAATAAAGAGCAATGATGAAGCCATGAAACATCTTATAACATGGAGGAATCTGGAGGACATTATGCTGAGTGAATTTAGTCAGCCACAGAAGGACAAATATTGTATAAGACCATTATTATAGGAACTCAAGGAAAGGTTTAAACATAGAGGAAAACATTCTTTGATGGTTACGAGGGTGAGGGCTATTCACTAACTAGATAGTAGACAAGAATTATCTTAGGTGAAGGGAAGGACAACACACACTACAGGGGAAGTCAGCACAACTGGACTAAACCAAAGCTCAGAAGTTTCCTGAATACAATCAAACACTTCGAGGGACAGAGTAGCAGGGGTGGGAGTCTGGGGGCCATGGTTTCAGGGGACGTCTAGGTCAATTGGCATAACAAAGTTTATTAAGAAGATGTTCTGCATCCTATTTTAGTGAGCGGTGTCTGGGGTCTTAAAAGCTTGCAAGTGGCCATCTAAAATGCATCAATTGGTCCCAACCACCTGGAATAAAGGAGAATGAAGAACACCAAAGACACAAAGTATTAGCCCAAGAGACAGAAAAGGCCACATAAACCAGAGACTTCATCAGCCTGAGACCAGAAGAACTAGATGGTGCCTGGCTACCACCAATGACCACCCTGACAGGGGACACAACAGAATCCCTGATGGAGCAGGAGAAAGGTAGGGTGCAGAACTCAAATTCTAGTAAAAAGACCAGACTTAGTGGTCTGAGACTGGAGGAACCCCAGAAAGCATGGCCACTGGATTCTGTATCAGCCCAGAACTAAAACAATTTCTGAGGCCAGCTCTTCAGACAAGGATTGGACTGGACTGTGGGACGTAGAATGAGGCTCGTAAAGAGTGTGCTTCTTAGCTCAAGTAGATACATGAGACTAAATGGGCAGCTTCTGTCTGGAGGTGAAATGAGAAGGCAGAGAGGGTTAGGAGCTGGTTGAATGGACATGGGAAATCGGGTGGAAAGGAGGAGTGTGCTGTCACAGTATAGGGAGAGAAATTAGGGTCACATAACAATGTATGTGTAAATTTTTGTATAAGAGACTAACTTGAAATGTAAACTTTCACTTAAACTATAACAATAAACAAAAACTCTTTAAAAATGCAGAAAAAATGGAAATTTGGAGAAAAATAGATAAATTAGAGGAGCAATATAGGAAATCCAGTTTCACTTAACATGAGTTCCAGGAAGAAATAATGAAGAACACAGAAGGGAGAAGATTATCAGAAAAATTATTTAAGAACATTTTCTAGATCTAAAGAGTATGAGTTTCTATATTAAAAGGGTCATAGTGTGCTCAGCACAATAGATTGAAAAAACCCAATGTACAGTATGATGAAACTTCAGAACACTGGACTGGAAAAAACAATGAATTTATACAATTCAGTAGCATTTGGGAATAAATAGGTGAAAAATGCATAGAAAGCTAAACAAACGCAAAAAGACGTTGACTTCAGGAAAAATAAGAGGTAACTGATATTCCACAAGAGTGAATAGCATTTTTATAGCATTTTATCATTCTAATGTCTACGTTGAATATTGATCTAACTAAATACGTATCAGTATGGGGACTGTAGGAGGAGTGGGAAAGGTGAGAACAGGGAGATACAAGACGGAATAGCCTCATTCTTCCAACGGGTGAAGTCAACAGAAAGCTTAAAACTGATGTCAGTAAATAACAATATAAGTATGCTCTTTAGTGATATGTTGTTTAATGGGGCATAGGAATAACATATGTAAAGTGTAAGAGCTAGCTCCCATATGCTGCTTGTCCCTTAGAGCCATAACCTTTATAGGGCAAAAATCTAGCAAAGCAAGCAGGATTACAGAACCTAAATAGGCCAAAGACTGTACTATCCCCCATTTAATATCTTGATGCCATCAAGGTTTGCCTTTTTTCTCTATCTCACCCCAGCCCTTCTTTAATTACTATATTTAGGGCCCTAAGAGGGGAGAAAAAGGTAACCTGTCACTTATGTGCTGTTACTCAAAGTTTTATGCCATTTCTACCTGCTTTTTGTTTAGATCGGGAGTATCCCAAGTTGGAAGAACGTATGCAGTGCAGGAATTCCACTCTTCTGGATAGCAGTAAAGCAGTAGCAGTAGAGAAGGCACCACAGTTTTCAAACCTCTCTGCCATTTTAGGTAAGTTTTCACACTCTTTTTTCTCATGTCACATGGGGAAGAACCGTCGTCTATGTTGGAAAAACAAAGTTTATTTTTTTCCCTTGAATGATTCTAAGGTAAGTTTATTAATTAGGATGCCTTTGGCTGCAAATAATTTCTGACTAGCACCTAACAACAGCAACAATAGCAGCTTAAGTACATATGGATTTACTTTTTTAAAAAATAACTTTTTATTTTTATCTAATTTTAGACTTACAGAAAGGATGCAAAAATACCTCACACCCACGTTTCCTTAATGTTAACATTTTACGTAACTGTAGTATGATGATCAGAACCAGAAAATTAACATTGGTATAAAACTATTAACTAAACTATAGACTTTATTTGAAATTAACCAGCTTTTCCACTAATGTCCCTTTTCTGTTTCAGAATCCTATTCAGAATCTCACATTGCATTTAATTGTTATTTTTCCTTTGTTTCCTGTAGTCTGTAATAGTTACTCAGTCTTTCCTTATCTTTCATATTCTTGATCCTTTTGAAAAGGACTGATCAGTTATTTTGTAGAATGTCCCTCAGTTTGGGTTTGTCTCATGTTTTCTCATCCTTGGAATGAGGTTATGGTAAGAATATGACAGAAATGATGTTGTATCCTTCTCAGTGAGTTGTATCAAGGGGTTCCTGATGTCAACATGTCTCACTACTCGTGGCGTTAAGCTTCATCTTTTGGTTAAGATGGTGCCTGCTGGGCTCTCCACAGTAAAGTTATTGTTTTCCCTTTGTAGTTATTAAATATTTAGGGAATGATACCTTGAGACTCTGCATATTCTGTTCTCCTCAAACTTATGTTCATTAACTTTAGCACCATCAGAAGATCTTGACTACAACAGTTAGTACTATGGTATTTATCTAATGGTGATTTTTTCTTATCTTGCTCTTCTACATGTATTAATTGGAATTTTACTGTAAAATAAGAACCATCTCTTTCCCTCTATTTATTTATTTGATATTTGTATCAGGATGGACACATGTACATTTATGTTATTCTATGTGTTAAAAATCCAATGCTATCATTATATATTTACTTATTTGTTTAACTCTAATACACACACACATAAAATAGTTTCAGAATTGTTAATCCACACCTCTGTGAGAAGCACATTTACTAACTAGATTATAGCATTTATGTACCGTTCTTTTTGTTTTTAGCCTTACAGTATCTAGTCAGAATGTTATTTTCCAAAGTTACTTAGATTAATTCTTTTCTTCCCCTCCCCTTTCTGTTTGGTTGTCATTCATTTGTAAAACAGGTGCATTTGTTACTGTTGTATTCAATTCTGAGGTCCTTCTATATCCTGTTTGGTTTTAATTGTTTATTTAGTCAGAGGGTATGTGAAACATTACTATGGTTCTAAGAGTCATAGCTATACAAAAAGATATTCTCGGAACAGTATCACGTCCTCCTTCATCATCCTTACTACTCTAATCCCATTCCCTCTTCTTTCTACCCCTTTCTCACCCACCCCCTGTAGGTAACCAGTATCTTTCATTTCTAGTTTAGCCTTCATGTATTTCTTTTGAACAAATGAGCAGATATCTGTGTATTTTCTTAAACCTTCTTTTTCTTATATGAAGGATGGCTTACTGTGTAGATACTCTTTTTTACTTTGATTTTTTTCACTTAGCAATTTGTATTGGAAATCACTCCATATTAGTTTATAGAGATCCCCCTAATTTTTTATACAGCTGCATAATATTCCATTGTGTGGGTGTACCTTAGTTTAGTAAACCACTCTCCTATAAATTGGACATTTACAGGTTTTTTACACCCAATATTTTTCCCTTACAAACAGTTCTGCAATGAATAAACTTATGATAATATATTTTCATATTGTTAGAGGAATATCTTCAAGGTAAGGAGCCCTGGTGGCACAGTGAATGGTTAAGCACTCGGCTGCTAACTGAAAGGTCAGTGATTTGAAGTCACCAGCAGCTCCATAGGAGAAAAGTCTCAGCAATCTGCTTCTGTAAAGATTACAGCCTAGGAAACTCGGGTGGTTTCACTCTGTCCTATAGGGTTGCTATCAGTAAGAATTGACTCAATGGCTTACCACAACAACAACATTTTAAGGGTGGATTCCTGGAAGTGGGATTGTTGGGCCAAAAGGTAAGTAGATTGTGATGGTTAACAATGAGCGTCAACTTGGCTGGGCCATGATTCTCAGTGTTTTGGCAGTCATGTAATGTTATGATCACTTCTGTGTTGAGATTTGATATGTGATCACCCTGATGTGCTATGAGCAGGCAGTCAGTTGAAAGGGAGTTTCCTTGAGTGTGTGCCTGCATTGAATATAAGTGGACATTCTAGCAAGGCTTGTGGGCTTTTTGCTCATGCTGGATCCTGTTCATCTACTCTCCGGTTCTTGGGACTTGAGCTAGCAGCTTGCTTGCAATCTTGCCTCCTGATCTTGGGATTCATTGATCTTTTCAGCCTGTGAGCAAGGGCTCTGCTGTCTGACCTGCTGATCTTGGGTTCACCAGACCCTCTGGCTACATGAATCAGGAGAAGCCTCTATCCTGACCCATGAACTTGGGATGTTCTAGCCTCTACAACTGTGTGAGCCATTTCCTTGATATAAATCTCTCTATATATATATTTATACACTTTACTGGTTTTACTTCTCTAGAGAACTCAGCCTAAGACATGGATATATAATTTTGTTAGGTGTTGCCAAGTTTCCTTCCAGAAGAATTTTACCAGCAATGTGTAAGAGTGCCTGTTTCCTCATAGCCTCACCAACAGAATGTGTTATCATATTTTTAAATTTTTGTTACCTTGATAATTAAGAAATGGTATCTCAGTGTTGTTTTAATTTGCATTTCTCTAATTATTGTCCTAGTAGGGACATTGGACTAATAGATTTTTTTTATTGTGCTTTAGGTGAAAGTTTACAGCTCAATTTAATTTCTCATACAAAAATTTATACACATATTATTATGTGACCCTACTTGCAATCCCTATAAGATGACAGCACACTCCCCCTTTCCACTCCCAGTTTCCATGTCCATTCAACCAGCTCCTGTTCCTTTCTGCCTTCTCATCCTGCTTCTGGACAGGAGCTGCCCACTTAGTCTCGTGTATCTACCTGAACTAAGAATAAGAAGCGTACTCTTCACGAGTATTATTTTATGTTTTATAGTCCAGTCTAATCTTTGTCTGAAGAGTTGGCTTTGGGAATGGTTTTAATTCTGGGTTAACAAAGAGTCTGGGGGCCATGTCTTCTGGAGTTCCTCAAGTCTCAGTCAGAGCATTAAGTCTGGTCTTTTTACTAGAATTTGAGTTCTGCACCCCACTTTTCTCCGGCTCCGTCAGAGACTCTCTGTTGTGTTTCCTGTCAGGGCGGTCATTGGTGGTAGCCGGGCACCATCTAGTTCTGGTCTCAGGCTGATGGAATCCCTGGTTTATGTGGCCCTTTTGTCTCTTGGGCTAATATTTTCCTTGTATCTTTGGTATTCTTAATTCTCCTTTGCTCCAGGTGGGTTGAGACCAATTGATGCATCTTAGATGGCTGCTAACAAGCTATGAAGACCCCAGACACCACTCACCAAAGTGGGATGCAGAACATATTCTTAATAAACTTTGTTATGCCAGTTGACCTGATGCCCCCTGAAACCCTGATCCCCAGGCCCCCACCCCTGCTACTCTGCCCCTTGAAATGTTTGATTGTGTTCAGGAAACTTTTTAGCTTTTGGTTTAGTCTGGTTGTTCTGACTTCCCCGCATTGTGTGTTGTCCTTCCCTTCACCCAAGATAATTCTTGTCTAGACCAATAAATATTAAAACAAAAATTTTATTGAAGGAATAATTCATTCTGAGGAATTCTTACCTACTGCAATGCATGCTCTGCTTTAAGGCAGAACAATGAGGTATTTAACAGGCAAGGTAAACAAATGCAAACGAGTTCACTTCAAAGCAGTTTCAAAGGAAGGAAGGAAAATTTACAAGAGGTGATTAAACTACAAACTTTCTTACACATCAATTTCTAGTCTAGCACAAATCTCTCATTCCTGATACAGTTTGACTAAGGGAGTATTTCTAAAATGAAATGTATAAACATTCTTGATATGGAGGTTTAGTGATGTACTGTAGGCTGAGTCCACTTAATTGGAGTCCTTGGAAAGAGTGAAGGTCAACTCTAAATCTACAGTCTTTTGAAGTGTAAACATTGCTTATTTAGCTAAAGGAGGAGAAAGATAAAGACCAGGCATCCACTGGTGAAATTCCCTGAAGGTAGTTAAGACAGGAGCCCTGGTGGTGCAGTGGTTGAGAGCTTGGCTGCTAATCAAAAGGTCAGCAGTTTGAATCCACCAGCTGCTCCTTAGAAACCCTATGGGGCAGGTCTACTCTGTCCTATAGGGTCGCTATGAGTTGGAATCAGCTAGATGGCAACGGGTTTGGTTTTTTGTTTTGGTTTAGTTAAGACAGTAATTATCAGTACATCTTGATTGCATGTTTGATCAATTTCACACTGCAGAAGTTGGTAAAAATCTTCAATTTCCTCTTCTTTGGCATTAGTGGTTGGTGTGTAAATTTGAATAACAGTCATACTAACTGGTCTTCCTCACAGGCATGTAGATATTATGTTATCACTGACAGCATTGTACTTCAGGATAGATCTTGAAATGCTCTTTTTTGACAATGAATGTGATGGCATTCCTCTTCACTTTGTCTTTCCTGGCATAGTAGACCGTATGATTGTCTGATTCAGAATGGGCAGTACCAGTCCATTTCAGCTCACTAATTCTTAGGATATCAATCTTTACGCATTCCATTTCATTTTTGATGACTTCCAATTTTCTTAGATTCATAATTCATACATTCCATGTTCTGATGTTTGCAGCTGTTTCTTCTCATTTTGAGTCATGCCACATTAGCAAATGAAGGTCCCAAAAGCTTTATTCCATCCACGTGATTAAGGTCGACTCTACTTTGGGGAGGCAGTCTTCGGCAGTCATATTTT